TTATACCACTGGTTCAAAAGCAAATGACAGCGAGAGAAAGAGAGAGAGAGAGGTGTAATTTATCAGCTCCTTTTCACCGAAACACCTCAGACAGTCAGGGTGATGCTGAAATAGCGGCACATCAGTGGCTCCACCTCCAACAACCACATTAGCGATGTTACACGGCAACTTAAGGGAAAGTGGCCATGCACACAAACAACCATCATTGTCGTCTTTCACCAAATGTACGAAGCATTCAAGACTCACTTCTTTAATTCCCCGCAACCCAACGGTGTCCGTGAACATCCATCCAGAAGCATCCAGGATAATGTAACGCAGCGGCTTCTCGGATGCTTCACCACTTTCTCCATCGACTTCTGCATCGGACGATTCCTGCCAAAAGATCCAGACACACAAATGTCCTCGTTAATTTTACCACATTCGAAAAGTGCAGGAATAATGCACAGTAGGCTGTTGGAAGGGTGGTGTACACGTGGTTCACCAACCGCAGGGGAAGTATTGAGGGTACGCAACTCCACTTCACGATACAATTTGTATAGGCCAAGGGATGTAACCGGGATCTGTTAATGGACAGTGAGTGGAAAGATCTGGCTACGCGAAGCAAAGTAAACTACCACTATGCAAACCATGGCCCATGAAAGTTAGACCCACAGGTCATTTAACGTGTTTGTTGGCTTCCTTCGAGTAGCTTCTAAGCTTGGTGCACATTGATGCACATTGAATCATCTTCTTTACCGACGCACCTTCCTATTACCCTCGAATAACACGATCACGCATGCCCGTGTCATCCTGTAGGCAACGGAGCCAGCCCATGTGACATAACGGAAGCGTTTGTATGCTCAATTATAGCCGGAGAGGGTGGAGTGCAAAGAGGTCAAGAATGCAGAGGCCCCCAACCCACATTGCAGTAGGCAGTCATTTCTGTGACCATCCAGTCTGCACCTGGAACACCTGATCCTGCATACCTGATCAACATCCAACCACCTCTCGTGTGAGGAGATCACACATGAGACGAAACATTCTACGAGGCAGCGAACACATTACAACCACTCAGCAGCATTCACAATGCCAAAAAAGTAGGCGCACACTTGACACTCCAGAAGCAACGCTTTCAGCAATGATAACAAAGTGAAACAGGCTGAGTTCGAGCAGCTTAGCCATACTAACGAACCAATGTTCTACACCACAGCCACGTCCCACCTATTCATCAACTGATGCAAAACAAGTCCTGACCTTTTTTTGAATTGGGTGACCCCTTCAGCCCACTAATTGGCAAACATCAACATCAAGGTATTTGACGACCTACTGGTGTACTTGACCTGATGACCATATCTCCCACTCTATCCTTTTCGCCGACGGCTTCAGTTGGAAGATTGTGCAGGCTGTCAGCTGGAGTGGAAGACCTGCTTTTGTGCAAAGAGAACAATTTCCACTTGCTCTCCCTCTTCTGCGAGTCGCGTTGCACCTTCACCGGATCCACGCCAGAGAGGCGATAGACGCTCTTTTGGAAGGAAGCCACATTGGCGAAATACACGGGCCCATCGTAACGGATTATCTTCATTCCCTTCAACTCGTGCAGCTGCAGAGGTACACAATTTACACAAATCGAAATGTCAAGGAAATAAGTGTCTTACTAGGTAACGGCTTAAAAACACAAACCAGTACCTACACTGACAAGACCTTCGCAAAATCAACCCCCATTCATGACTGTCATCGTCCAGCACTTCCACTCTTCTAGCCCTCAATGTTGCTGTCGGAAACC